ACACGCAGGCCATGAACTCCAAGGCTATGGTGGAAACAGTGGCTGTGGCTCCATCTCTCTGGGGAAGTGGAGCAGAGAAAGGAGTTCAAACAGAAATTTACCTGTGCCGGGTTTGCTGTGGAGCCCCTCGTTCTGCCCTCTCAAACGTGTGTCTCTGAGAAAGGCGCACAAAGGCAGGCACTCAGCAGGACACACGTGAATCACGGAGGCCTGGGCCCTTCCTCCTATCAGCCCTGTGGGACCCAGCTGGCGCCCTGCGGGCAGGGCTGTTTCTTTCTGGGTCTCCTCTCCAGTGAAAACAACCGTATTTCCCCCAGCGTGGGAGTGGTGAGGGAGGCCAGCGGGACAAGCGCAGGCTCCGGGCTGGCTGCTGCAGATGCGCTAGACACTTTGAATAGGGTCACCCAAGACTGCCCTGTGCATGAGCTGTGAGTGCCAGGGGCCCAGCTGTTTTCCCAGATGGAAACTCTCCTTCCTTCACCCAGTTCACTGGGCGCAGACTAGGTATTTTCTTCTTCTAATTAATCGTCATGGGCCTCATAGGGTGAGTAAAACAAAACAAAGTTTCTCTAAAGGATGACTCCCTAACCAGGTTATAAGCTATTCAAGATGGGAGCAGAGGCAGCAAGGTCACCCCATCCGACAGGCAAACAGATGGGAGCAGAGACACTCCTAAAAGTGCAGAGAAATACACGTGCAAGCATGTGTGTGTGCTGGGGGGGTGGGGGGCTGTGCAGCGGAGAAAGTCACAACCAGAGAATTCATACTACAAAACCTTAATTCTTCAGGAAATTAAGGCAAAAAGGCACCAAAAAAAAAAAAAAAAAAAAAAAGCCCTTAAAAGCTGCTGGCATGATTCCAGAGACTGAGAAACTTGGCTCAGAAATGACAGTTAGTTTGCTTTTTAAAGGTGCCTCAACTACAAAGTGCTTTTCTCACAGTCAGGGACCTTCCCCCACCAACACACCCGCATGCGCACGCACACACACACACACACACACACACACACACACACACACACACAGCACTGCCCCTCTCCGGGAGGGTATGTGACCCCCAGAGCTTCTTCGTAAAGGTCCTCTGACCTCAGGCAGTGAGACCCTGGTGCAGGGAGGAGGAAGTTCTGGAACACTGCTGCAGGTTCCCAGCATTGGAGCAAAAGTTTATGGAAATGCAAAGCTCCCCACCCGATGCACCTGACCACACACATCCTCTGAGTCCCCGTGGAGAGGCTGGGGAGCAAAATCCAAACTCCGTAGGACAGTCCAGGCAACTTCAGACAGGGAAGATGCCCGGGGCCTTTTTTCCCCCTCGGGTTCTTACAAGTGTTGGCAGGCACAGTCCTTAAGCCAGGCTCTCCTCAGTGGCAACAAGGAGTGGCTTCCCATGCTTCCCCAACTCACCAGGGCAGGCAGTGGGAAGGGAGGCGCCAGCAAGCCGAAGGAGGCTTTTCTCAACTGATCATCTTGGGAAAAGCCAGATACAAATTTCACGGCTGGAATGCAAGGGTTGTGAAACCCTGAAAGAAGCCCCAAAACGGGCCAAGGACTCTCCTTCTGGGAAGGCGGTGGGAGGAGGGCTGGCGAGGGCAAGTGGGAGAGGAGCAGGTTACCCAGAGGGGCCTGCCTTTCTGGGAAGCAGGAAGTAAGGCGTCAAGAGAGAAAGAAAGAAATCCCCTAGCCCTGAGGAGGTAGAGGGGACAGAGATAGGGTTGGTTTTGCTTCTGAACATAAAGAAAACAAGGTTTGTCAGAAAGTAATTCTGGTATAAACAAGCCAATTACGATACAGCTTGTTATCTCTGGGATTTAGAAGCACCAAAGCTGACCACTGTCTTCCCTAGAGTTAAATATGCACAGTAAGCTTCTAAAAGGGGGTTTAGCCTTGTCTTCAGTGTCACGTGACAGGTCCCTATTCCTATTCCAACTAGACAGATGAGGTCCACCAATGAGGGTCACTACCACCTCAGAGACACAGCCTTGCGTGTCCCTCATGGGATCCCTGAGAATGGGGTAAGGAAGGTCACACTAGGGAAGACTGCCCTAAGGACCACCCTTTTCTAACCTTGGACAAGTCACTGACTGGCCTCTCTGCACCTCAGTCTCCTCATCTATAAAAGGGGATGGTAAGATTACTTCACAGAGTGACTGTGAGAATGAATGAAGGTCATGTGGTGTAAAGCACTTGGAACACTACTTGGCACACAGTCGTCACTACGTAAGTGTTAGCTGCTAGCGGGGAATGAGAAGAGCAAGTGCTTGCCGCCCCCCCCCCCCCCCCCCCCCAGTAGGCCAGAGCCCAGCTGCTAATGCCCGGGCTCCATCAGCCCTTCTGAACTGTAGCTTCCTCAGACCATTCCCAGACCCATGTGGAATCAGCACGCCCCAGCCTAGAAAGGCTGACTAAAGGAAAATCAGACGTGCACACACAATAAGGCCTGTGCCGGTTGCTCCCCCACAGGGAGAGGAGCAAACACCAGTGCCAGCACATCTTGGGTCGGCTTTCTCAGTCACAATCCATGTGGTTTATCTGAAATGGGGTCAGGTCCCAGAGTGGCCAGCATAGATATTACAGTCGTGCTTGCTAATCTAAACTGAGTCCATCATCATCGATCGTGAGATAACAGCGAGCCAGAGCCTTAAGACACTGGAGGGGTGCGCTGGAAAAGGATCTTGGCAAAGCAGCAGGAACCATTTCTCAACCAATGGCTAACAAATTGGTAACAAGCACTGAGAACCTCAGAAGAGACATTCTGATTCCCTCCGGACTGCAGATTCCACCACTGTGGAGACCTGACTGGTCACTTGAGCTTGCAGGGAGGGGAGATGACCCCAAAGGGCTGGCACCCCTGATCTATTTCCACCCAACTATTTGTAGCTCAGTCAACTCAGGCCAAAGGTGGAGGCTGCAGCCTTTACCTTGTATCTACAGATAGCCCTTGCACCAGATCCAGTGCCCCTCTGCACGGTCAGGGGTGGGCTGAGTCTGGGCTGTATGTATGCATCCAGGAACCCTGAGCCTTGTGCCCCCTGTGATGTCTGGAAGTGCAGCAGCTGAACGTGTGCCCAGGACAGCAAGTGAGATTTCAAGCCTGCTCCACATATACAAGAGCCGCAAGTGGGGTGTGTCTATGCAGGAGCCCCTGCCCTTCTGCCCAGAAACTTGGACCTTCCAGAGGGGATAGGGCCATCTGAACTGAGACTGTCTACAAGTTATAGGCAATATGCTTGAGGCTTTAAGCCTTCAAGTACCTCCCAGCCTCCCCGCCAGTGCCAACGGGGCCTAGAGGGTGAAGCCAAGCTCAGGGCATGGGAAGGAGCATGGCCCCAGGACATGGGCTCCTAGGTGGAGAGCTTCCAGACACCCTACACCTCAGCCTGGCCATCTGCTGCTGCCAGGGGAAGATCATGGTGCCTCATGCCAGCTACTTCAAAGCAGATGGCTGGAGAAACTCACTGGCTGGGGTGGAAAGCTGCTTGGAGGTGGCAGTGGAGGCTTCTCCAGGCTCTTGCCAAAAAGCTCAACTTTTCGTGGCTCCTGGATAGCAGATTCCAGGTGAGCCATCTTGGGCATCCAGAGTAACTCTCCCTAGGGCGCCTGGGTGGCTCAGTTGGTTAAGTGACTGTCTTCAGCTCAGGTCATGATCCTGGAGTCCCGGGATCGAGTCCTGCATCAGGCTCCCTGCTCAGCGGGGAGTCTGCTTCTCCCTCTCCCGCTCCCCCCTCTTGTGCTCTCTCTGTCTCTCTCATTCTCTCTCTCAAATAAATAAAATTTTTAATTAAAAAAAAAAAAACAAAACAGAGTAACTCTCCCTACCCCACAATCTGCTCCTGGGTTGCAGCCTTGACTTTTGCTAGCCAGGCCTCCCCTGTTCCATCCCTGTCAGCTCCTTCTCCTGCTTGAAAAGTCTAGGGCAACTTTAAGGTCCGTCTCATGTTCTTCCTCCTCCAAGAAGCCCTCCCTAACTATTCTGGATCACGCCAACTTGTCTTTTCTGTAGAATATTAGATCACTACCACTTCCGGAGATCATGGATGAGCAGCTGGAGCCAGAATTCAAAGAAGTAGCTATTTCCAACAAAAAGCATCCACAGCCAGACTCACACCAATTTCAGTTCATGCACCTCCAAAGGAAGAGCCTATATCCTAGATGGCCCCCTGGGTCCTGAGCTTGCCACACAGCAAGTGTATAAGACTTCTCAGAAGAAGGACCGATCACCCTGGTCTTGCAGGAGTGCTGTGCTTCCTTTTGAGCCCAGGGCACAGCAACTTCCTCCCTGGCAAGCAAGAGTTCTGCTCTGGGCTGCCAACTCCCAGGCATCCCCTGCCAGCAGCTATTCCCCACAGCTTCCCTGATTCAAAGGGCAGAGGGGGGTGCCCAGTTCCAGCCCTGCCTACCATTCATCCCCTATCAGAGGAAGAGAGGTCAGCAGGAAGAGGGTCTGACCTCTGTGGGGCTAGCCACAGTCTCTCCCAAAGGGCTATACGGGTCCCTAGGCAGGCAGCAGAGGCCTGTAAAGGACTTCCCTTCCCTCCTCTGGGCCCCATGGAAGGGAGGCAGGAAAAAGGGCCTCTGCAGCAGGCGTCCACTATGGGGCTGGCCAGACAGGGAGGCCCCTGGGGCTGCAGCTATCAGCCGGAGACCAGGCTCCAGGAAGGAAGGAAGGGCAACTCTGGCCGAGGCCGAGATAAGGAGGGGAGTCGTGCTCAGCACAATGGGCTCCCTCAAGGCTGGGATTTTGCCCCAACTTGGCCTCCTGTCTGTTCACACAGCCCAGGCAAATATTTACTGATGTTTATATTCCTAGTCTGCCGGGTCCCCTCCGAGGCCCTTTCCTATGACCCACAGATCTGTGTGCCCCAGAGACCCCGGGCCCATCCAGCAATGGCTAAGGGCATTGTTCTCTCTCATGCAAGCCCCAGGGACAGACGTTTCAGGACCAAACTGCCCCCCTTGTACCAGCCCTGGAATACGAATTCCCTCTGTGGACACGGAACTTACGGGGCCCGGTCGTGGGTGAAGCCGTTCTGCCGCTGAGGGTTGATTGGCGGAAGGACAGGTTTGTTGTTGATCTCAAGTCCTCTCCTCAGGGTCTCCCGGATCTGCTCCGTGTCTGCAACAACACCATTAAGTTGCCTGATGGCTCTTTGGGCTCCTAACATCCCTCAACCCTGCGCTTGGAGCTGGGCTCTGCAGACATGCTAAGAAAAGGTCCTAGGAAAGCCGTGAGCCCACTCCAGACATCAGCCTTGAGAGCTGAGCGAGAGCAGTGTGAGGACACAGGGCAGATGAGGCAACTATGCTCTCAAGAAATTTCTGGTCTTAAGAGTGCCATTCTTGTCAAAGACGAGGGGGTGGCCTCTGGACTTCAGAAGGGCACCTTCCAAGATAGGGCTCTTCACTGTCCTTCCCCTTCCTGTGCCACAGGCCCCAGATTTACCCTTAACATAGCCCCAGACAGTGACTAACAAGGTCTTTGCCATTGACCAAGCCCACCCGGGGATTCTGCCCACTGCAAGGGATGCCATTAAGGGCTGTAAGTGCTTTGCCATGAATGAACTCTTACGTAGTTTCTGGGCTCTGGGTGGTCAGATGGTACCCTGCCACCCTTCTCCTTGGGTGGGCCGGTGGGATGCTGAGGTCATCTCCCCACGCTGGTCCCAGGGAACCCTGCCTGTCCATGGGTCTGCCAAGGGCCAGGAGGGTAAGAGAGGAATCTCTTGGTGGGACTATTTCTTTGCAAGGTACTTTGCTGATCTTTGGGGTGAAGCTCACTATTCTGGTCTGCTATAGAGATTTTGGTCTACGATTTACCTATACAAACAGCAGACATACCCCAAAAAAGCAAATTAATGCTGGTTGCTCAAAGGGTGGGCTTGGAGTGGACTACAGAGGCAATAATACTAACTCTTCTGTCTGACTTGTTACAGTGGTATGGGTTACTTTTATAATTTTTAAAAATTAGCCAATAATGGCTGAAATTTTGGACAAGACTATGAATCCTTCTTTTTTTAAATGTTTTATTTATTTATTCATGAGAGTCAGAGAGAGAGAAAGAGAGAGAGAGGCAGAGGGAGAAGCAGGCTCCCCGTCTAGCAGAGAGCCTGATGTGGGACTCGATCCCAGGACTCTGGGATCATGACCTGAGCCAAAGGCAGACGTTTAACCATCTGAGCCACCCAGGTGCCCTGAACCCTTCCTTAAATTACCTCTTTCGTCAAAAGCAACCGAATGACTGTATGCTTTCTCTCAGAACCTCCCATGGGCTTATTAGCACACCATCAGAACAAGCAGGAAGGCAAAAGGGGGTCAGATATTTGCACTAGGAGCTTAAGTTGTCCTTTACGGAAAGAGAATAGTTCCCATAAGTGCTATCACACGTGCAGGCATTTTATTCAGGACTGTAGGTATCTTATTCTTCAAACAATAAGAAAAGGTGGAGGAACTAGACAAAGAAAGTAGAAAAACAAGCTGTCAACATACATATAGGTAAATGGCTACTTCCCCTTTGGAGTTCGGTAGGGATGCCCTTTGCTAAGAACCACAGCTGTTTCTACAACCAAGACCACCTTGGTGAGTTTCCAGCAGGAGAGCCATATCCTTCTTCCCCAAGGCCCCGTGCAGAAGGCAGTGGGTACAGGGTGCCCGGTACATGGCCCCTCATGCTGTATCTGCAGGACAGGGAGGCAGGGAAGTTTGTGAGCTGGCCTCACACTCTGGCCTGGGAGGGCCTGAGGCCAGAGTGATTCTCGGGTCTGGCATGGTTTTCAGGCCAGAGCTGGGCCCTGTTTCAATACTGTGGGTGGCCGATGCTTGTTCTTTTGCACTTGGGTGGACTATGGCCTTTTCCTGTAACTGTTCTGTGGCTTCCACTCACCTCCATGACCTCAGATTGCAAGGGGGCAAATCTAAAACACAATGGTCACCACTGGCGGTGCATCTGAAATACACACAGGAAACACAAGAGAAATAGGCCAATAAAACTCCCTTCATGCCACCCCACTGGAAGACTTCTTGCTGTTTCAATCCTGCCAGGAAAGAAACCATTGAATGGGCTGCTGGTTCTGGAGCCCCATCCTAGAGAGCCTGAAAACCGGGCCTGGGCACAGGGGAGGGGAGGGCTGGGGTGGCAGCAGCTACCTTTGCCGGACAGCCGCCGGGGCTGCGTGCCGATACAGATGCTCCGGCTGTCCTCATCGTCCTCAGGGGGCCGGCTCAGGTCGTCCCAGGCACACTTGGCACTGACACCACTCAGGTTGGAGCCGTCCGTCTCGATGCCTTTGTCAACTCTCTCCTGCTTGGAAAGAACCAAAGAGCCAGAGTTCTTTCAGTGAACCAGTGGCCCATGGTCACCACCCCCTTTCCGGTATTTACTGAATTCTTGTAGGTGCTGAGCACGGAATGGGTGCTGGAAGAGCAGGATGTCTGATCTTGTTCTGCCCTGGTTGCTAACACATGATGGTCTCTGCCAGCCAATGGACTCCTTGGAGGAAATCAGGGATCAGGGGAAGCCAGGAAGCATGAAAATCCCAAGGAAAGCTCATCCTCTATCTGGACCTTCCAGTAAAACCACCTGCACACCTGTTTCAGAGTCCTAACTCTGGCCACCCCATGCAGGCCGGTGGAGCGGATGTGGCAGAGCCAGGAACTATTGCCCTGAGGGAAGGCACACTCCTTCCTCTCCTCCCTGGCCATTCAGGAGGAACCCCCCAGTTACTGCTACAGAGGACAGGGTGCAAGCGGGCCACAGGCGGGAGAGGCCAGGACTGGGCGACTTCACACCTGCAGTTCCCTCTTCCAACAGCAGAGGGTGCGGTCACCCAGAAAAGCGCCACCAGAGAGCAGAAGGGCAGAACTTCGCCCAGCTGGATCACTAACTTGTTTGGCAAAGGACTCTGGATGGAGTTTCTTTTCCATTTCTTAGACTGAGATGGGGGCCTGGAGGGCAATGGCCATCTGCAGACCCCATCAGAGGCCCTGCTTTGTGTAGGCCTTGGCACTGTGGAGTCCCAACTCTCTCCAAATGGCCTCAAGGAAGAGTTGTACCCAAACATCTCTGGGATTTCTGGTAAAACATAGTTCTGTGATGCTGGGCGTTGGATTAAAGGTCATCTGGAAGGCTCTAGCAACGTTGCTTATAAACAGCCATGTGGGCCAAATAAAGCCCGTGAGTGAAAGCACCTCAGTAAGAATCTGCACCTCCCTGTCTGCCTGACCCTCTCCCAGGGGCTGCACAGGCACCACACGGGCCTGCTGCTCGGCCAGGAAGCCTATCTGTGGAAACACGAGGGAAGCTCCTTATTTCTTGAGACCAGTCAGCAGATGGCCCTGCCCTGATGCCTCCTTTCCAGTGCTACAATCAGCCCGGGCAAAGCTGGGATTTTTTTTTTTTTTTAAGATTTTATTTTTAAATAATCTCTACACCCAACATGGGGCTCTAACTTAAAACTCCAAGATCAAGAGTCACATGCTCTACCGACTGAGCCAGCCAGGCGCCCCAAAGCTGAGGATTCTGAGCACAAACAGGGAGAAGCTGACGACAGGAGCAGTTCTGTGCTCCAAGCAGGATGTGTGGGCCCTGCTCTGCTCAGGGTAGAGTCGGAGATTTACCCTTTCCATTGGCTGCCCTGAGGCCCCTCACCTAAGCAAGGAGCTGAGGATACCTCTTGACTCAACTAGTTCAGCCCACTTACTTTATAAGTAAAAATGAAAGAGGCCCTAGAGAAGTTAAGGGACTTCTTTAGGCACAGAGCTGGCTAGCAGCAGAGCCTGGAGCAAAGGAATAGGAGCCGGCTCTAAAATGAACCACCTGTAAGCAGGCCCCAGACAGCTACAGATGAGCACAGAAGAGTTCCCACTTGGTGCACAAGGCCACCTGCTTGCTTTTTTAATATATTTTAATTTTTTATTTTTAAGTAAACTCTCCGCCCAACATGGCACCTAAACTTATGACCCGAGATCAAGAGTTGAATGCTCCACCAACTGAGCCAGCCCCCCTCCCACCACTTGCTTTTAAAGACCACTGGGTGTTCTGGGTCCTGCTGGCTGATCTCAGCAGAGCCCGAAGACGAGGATGGAGAACTGCTCCTGGCATGCAGAGAAGGACGGGCTGCTTACCCTACTAGTTCAAATGACCAAGTTCTTTCTTAGTACTTGGCGTTTATGACCGAGGCTAAATGGCAGCCCACAGTGCCCCATGCTGGATCCCAGTGTGGCTGCAGAACAAGGACATAGGGAAACATAGCCTTCATGGTTCCTGGTTTTTGCATAAGCAGAAGCTATAGGGAAACCAACGTTAAAGGAGAGCTAACAGAGGATCCTGGCAATAATTTGAAAACTTCAGTGTTAAAGGCACTAGGAAAACAGAGGAGCATCATGTGTGAATGAGTAGGGTTTCTGCCCAAGATCTCACAGGTCTATAGTAAAGGGCCTACAGGGACTGCTGGCTGTACGTCTGCCTGCTACGTCTCCCCTCCCACCTCGCGTCCCTCCTAGAGGACACGCAGCTCCCGGCAGCTGCCCACCGCCTGCCAGATTTTGAGAGACATGAGAGCTTCAGAGATGGCAATGGCCTACAATTGGTCAGGGGAAGGAGAAGGAAGTGTATACATGCCAGGAACATTCTTAGCTGTCCACTGCTCTCTTTCATGAGCAGCCCATTAGGAAGGAAGTTATGCTCTAGGTGGTTTTCAAAATTAACTGGCACACAAAGCATGTTTCTTCTAAGAAACCAAAGATGTCACTGCACAGCTGGGCCACAGTAAGTGGGCAATTGCAGGCCTGCACGTATACCGACTTCCTTTATATGCCCAAGAATGCCAGCGTACCCAGGAGAGGAGCTCGGAGTCTGACTGCGCAAGCCGGAGATGTATCTAAAAGGCGCATGCGATCACTAGACCAATCACGACTCCCACTGCAGCTGGGCCGTGGGGTCAGTATCACCCGTCCTGTGTGTTACAGGGTGCTGGTGGTAGGGAGGTGGCTCCGAAGGAAAGTCTATATTCTTTTGAGAAGCAGGAAATGGGAGGCTGAATCCTGGGCAAGCAATATTGATTTTCTACAGTGAAAAGCTGGTGATCTTATTTTTTTTTAAGTCAGGTTTATTGATGTATGACTTGCCCTACAATAAAATTCATTCTCCCCCCCATACCCTTTTTTAGTTTATTTTTTTTATGAGTACAATTTCCAGTTTGTTTTCTTTGATGTAGTTCCAATATCTCAAGAACTGCTCTTACATTTTAAAGTGTCAGTAAGCATGGATCCTCATTTTTTTATTATTCTAACCAAGATATTACTGTAGTATCATCCCAAACAATCTCAATATTATAAATTTCCATCTATTTGTAATATAAAAGTCAATTTAATCCCACCCTTTTTAAATGCAAAAAACCATGTGTCTCAGGCAAGCTTTCCTGGCCTAAAATCTCTGCTCCCTATGTGCTCTGAGGAATTCAGGGGACAAATTCCAAATCATGCCATATTTCTACTCATTCACAAATAAAGCTCCTCCGTTTTCCCAGCATGAAAGCCAGTGTTATTTGGAAGAGGCCTAGGCATAGTGTGCTAAGAAAGGTTCTCCTCACTCAAGACATACTTGCAGGTGTGGGTCGATCTCAAATATGGTCTCTCCCCTCCGCATGTCAGTTATCAGCCAGGGGCCGCCAGCGCTGTGGACAAGGAAAGGGGATAGGATGGTAACTGAGGGTCTGGGGCTGATGGGCTGGGCCTTCAGACTGCCCTGTTTGCTGCCCCAGGCCCAGAACACAGGGGAGCAGTTCGAGGTCAGGGACTGTCAGGGAGTGAATCATCAGGAGCCCCTGATGTGAAAAACCAGTGCCTGATAAACAATGTAAGGGGAAGCCCACATGTGGGGGTAAGGAGGAACTCCCACCCCCAGGCCCAGGAAGCCAGGCCCCACCTCACAGGGTGGGCATGTACTCACACGGGTACCGTCCGCAGCAGCTCCAAGATGCCCTGCCCGTTCCACTGCTGGGCTGCGTGGAGCTCCTCGGTGCAGACGCCAACAATCTGAGACCCAGGGACAAGACGCCATTGCATGTCAATAGTCATTCCTCCCACCCATCCAGGAGGACGGCCACCCAGGCTCTTTCAGGGTCAAGTCAAGTGGGGGGACCACAGGCAGGATCTATGGCTCGGGGCTTGTCTGTCCAAAATGGGGTGGTTTCCTTAGGAGATGGAAGAGTCCACAGACAGGGTACTGAGGCCTGACCCTTGTCCTGCTACAATGGGTCAGGTGTCTGGGTGATACGATGTCTAGCCCTGGACTGCAGAGGCGAACATCAGAATGGGTCCTCAGCCCATGTCTCTGGAGGCAGGAGAGGTTCAGGGAGATGTTCCGACCTAGGCTAGGATCACAGGGAATGTAAACACAGGAGATTCTGAGGCCCTTCAAGCTCCGAACGACAACCAAAGGGCCCCAGCAGTTTGCAGAAAAGCTCTCTTTCCTCATCAGAGGCGGGGCCTTTGTGTAAACCTCAAGGGAAACAAGGGAACCTTCACATAGACCCCAGCATGATCACAAGCAAATGCAGCTGCAGCAGGGGTGGATGCACACCCCTTCTGGGTGAGGGCAAGGCCAGCCCAAAGCTGCCTTCCTGCTGGGTGGTCCCATGCCTACGGCTGTCTGGGTCTTTATCAGTTCACCAAAATACCCGCCCTGTTGGCCTTAGCCGCCCAACTACAGCCATTCCAACAGCACCCCCCGCCCCTGCCCCCATGGCCCCTTCCCTTTCCCCCTTTTCGCATCTCAGCAGGCTAAATCAGACCATCCGAATCTGACGAGCCAGCAGAGGGAAGAGAAAATGCAAGAAGGAAATCTCCTGTTGCCTTCATTCCTCCTACCCAAGCCCTCCTGTACTACAAAGGCTTTTCCCCCAGGGAAGGCTTGAGCCCATGTCCAACCTCAGCCTCACCTGGAGAAATGTAACTACCCCAAAGGGTGTCTGCACTGGTTGCATCTGTGGGTCCTCGGTCAGCAGCATGTGCTGAATTCTTGACTCGCTGTTATCCAAAGGGCTATGCCAAGACACGTGGTCCCCGCTGCAGAAGGTGTTCTCTGTGGGAGAGACACGAGGATGCTCAGTGTTAGAGGCCTTACATCCAGGTCTGAAACCCTGGTATCAGAGAAGCCCAGGCTGGGAAGCTCCCCCATCTTCCAGGGGAAGCATTTGCTCATATAGGAGAAAAGATTGTGGATATTTCCCCCAAACCAAACGTTTTTTCCTGCTTGCCAATTCTGCCAGCCTTCAGGAGAAAAGGACAGGCTGCTACTGTGGCTGCTCACTCGGCCTGGCACACCCGAAGATTTATTTGGGGTTGGGGAGCCATGATCAGGTCTGCCAGGAAAGGATAAGGTGCTTTAGTGTGGGGCCACGTGGCCAGAAATCCTCAGGGAGGCTGGGGGTGGGGCACTGAAAGCACTTCGCCATGGAGAAGCACACCCCTGGTCTCAATCCTTTCCTCTGCTGCTGGAAGTGTTTCTAAAAGGAACCACCCGTGGAGGGCTTTTGAGATTGGCCACTGGCTTCCCACAGGTAGACAGATAGAAGGATTTCTGAGGAACACTGGAGGCTTCAAGTACACAGAGGTTTGGACTGTGCCCCACACACCTCTGCAGAGATGCACAGTCTGGAGGGGTGGGTGTTTCCATGAAATCACAGACACCGTGCCTAGGCTGACCAAGAGAAACATGCAAACACGGCCAACTCATAGCCTCACCATTGCACTTCACACAGGCTCAACACTTCAAAAGCACTGTTTAGGACAGCATAACCACAAGGAAGGAAACACCCATGTGGTACAAAGTCTCCCCCTAGCCCTGACTCTTCTGTTGGGTACCCTTCCAAACGTATTCCGCATTTACCAGCCTGTGTGCATCTACAGGGTCTCTCTACCTTTTTTTCCTAAAACAAATGGCAGCACACTGTTTTGCACATTTGGTGGTTTGTTTTTTTTTTTAAGATTTTATTTGTCAGAGAGAGAAAGAGAGCACGCACAAGGGGGAGGCAGCAGAGGGAGAGGGAGAAGGAGGCTCCCTCTGAGCCACCCAGGAGCCCCTTGCACATTTTGTTTAATGATATATCTTGGGAGATCATTTCATATCAGCACATAAAAAGCTACCTCATTCTTTTTTTTTTAAGATTTATTATTTATTGGGGCGCCTGAGTGGCCCAGTCGTTAAGCGTCTGCCTTCAGCTCAGGTCACGATCTCAGAGTCCTGGGATTGAGCCCTGCATCGGGCTCCGTGCTCCACAGGAAGCCTGCTTCTCCCTCTCCTTCTGCCACTCCCACGGCGTGTGCTCTCCTGCTCTCTCTCTGTCAAATAAATAAATAAAATCTTAAAAAAAAAGATTTATTATTTATTTTAGAGAGAGAGACAATACAAGTGGGAGGGGGAGAGGGAGAGAGAATCTCAAGCAGACTCCACGCTGAGCATGGAGCCTGACGAAGGACTAGATCCCAGGACCCGGAGATCATGATCTGAGCCAAAACCAAGAGTCGGATGCTCAACCGACTGTGCCATCCAGGCACCCCACTACCTCATTCTTTAAATGGCTGTATGGTAGTTCATTGTGGTCTATCAGTTATGATCGAGGAATCTCAACAGCTGGAGACTCTTCACTTTTGATCAATATTTAAGGCAACGCAGAACATGAAAACAGACACACACACACACACACACCCCAGCCCAAAGCCTCCGGAGGCCTGAGAGAGCTTCTGCTCTCTCTTGCCTTGGTCTGAATACTAATTCCCTGCTCTGTCAGGTGTGGTTACACCAACTACTTTTTCCATCTTTTTGGTCCTAACCTCAAAAGTATTCATTCATGAGGGTGAAGGAAGACTACTTCCTCTAGGAGATATGGGGCGATAAAGGCAGAGAAGGCACAGCTCCAGACAGAGCCAACTAGAAACCTTCAAATTTCCCAATTCCTGCTGTGCCCACTCTTCCCAGATTTCTTCTCCTTTTACAGAAATGTGTGTCTACAAGCAGCTTGCATGATCTACAAGTTAGAAACAAAGCAACAAGTAAAAAGATTGAATTAGTAATTCAAAAACTGACCCCATAATAAGCTTATCCCCAATGGCTTCACTGGTAAATTCTATCAAACATTTATTTTTATTTTTTTTAAAGATATTATTTATTTATTTTAGAGAGAGAATGAGATAGAGAGAGAGCATGAGAGGGGAGAGGGTCAAAGGGAGAAGCAGACTCCCCGCCGAGCAGGGAGCCCGATGTGGGACCCGATCCCGGGACTCCAGGATCATGACCTGAGCTGAAGGCAGTCGCTTAACCAACTGAGCCACCCAGGCGCCCAAATTCTACCAAACATTTAAAGAATTAATACCAATTCTTCACAAACTTTTCAAAAAAATATAAGACTTGCCGATTCTTTCTATAAAACCAATATTACCCTGATACCAAAGCCAGACAAAGGCATTACAAGAAAAGAAAGCCATAGGCCATTATCCCTTATTCATACAGACACAAAAATCCTCACTAAACAATAGCAAACTGAACACAGCAACATATAAAAAGGGTTTATACATAATCAGCAAGTGAGATTTATCCCAGAAATACAAGGTTGATGTAACATAAGAAAACCAATGTAATATATCAACAGAATGAAGATTTAAAAAACCCCACATGATCATCTCAATAGACATAGAAAAGCATTTGCAAAATCTAATACTCTTTTATGATAAAAACACTGAAACTTGGAAGAGATAGGAACTTCCTCAATCTATAAAAGGGCATCTACAGAAAACCTACAGCTAACAGCATACTTGATATTAAAGACTGAATTATTTTCCTCTAAGATCAGGAACATAACAGAGATGCCCACTCTTACCACTTCTATTTAACATTGTATTAGGGGTTCTAACCAGGGCAATTAGGCAAGAAAAAATAAACAAAAATCCAGGTAAACTGGAAAGGAAATGAAACTATATTTGCCTATGACATGATCTTGTACAAAGAAAACCCTAAGGAATCCACTAAAAAACTATCAGGATAAACAAATTCAGCAGCGTTGCAGGGTACAACAGCAATGTATAAGAATCACTTGTATTTCTGTGCACTTGCAATGAACAATGTGAAAACGAAATTAAGAAAACTTCCACTTACAATAGAATAAAAAAGAAAACAATGCTCAGGAATAAATTTAACTTAAAAAAGGGAAAACTTGTACTCTGAAAACTATAAAACACTGTTGAAAGGAATTAGAGGGGCGCCTGGGTGGCTCAGTCGTTAAGTGGCTGCCTTTGGCTTGGGTCATGATCCCAGGGTCCTGGGACCGAGCCCCACATCGGGGTCCCTGCTCCACGGGAAGCCTGCTTCTCCCTCTCCCATTCCCCCTGCTTGTGTTCCTTTTCTCGCTATCTCTCTCTGTCAAATAAATAAATAAAATCTTTAAAAAAAAAAAAAGAAATTAGAGAGGACCTATATAAATGAAAAAATATACAATATTCACGGAAAGAAAGATTTAATATTGTTGACATTAATATTCCCCAAATTGATCAATAGATTCAATGCAATCCCTATCAAAATGCCAAATGCCTTTTTTGCAGAAATTTCAACAATGATCCTAAAATTCATATGAAAATGCCAGAGACCCAGAAGAGCTTGAAACAAGCTTGAAAAAGACAAACAGGGGCGCCTGGGTCGCTCAGTCGTTAAGCATCTGCCTTTGGCTCAGGTCATGGGATCGAGCCCCGCGTTGGGCTCCCTGCTCAGCCAGAAGCCTGCTTCTCCCTCTCCCACTCCCCCTGCTTGTGTTCCCTCTCTCGCTGTGTCTCTCTCTGTCAAATAAATAAATAAAATCTGAAAAAAAAGAAAAAAAAAGAAAAACAGTTGGAAGACTTAATTTTCCTGATTTCAAAACTTGCTACAAAGCTACAGTTATCGAGACACTGTGGTACTGGGATGCCTGGCTGGCTCAGTCAGTGAAGCATGCAACTCTTGATTTCAGTGTTGTGAGTTCAAGCTCCACATTGGGTGGAGAGAGTGCTTAAAAATAAAGTCTTAAAAAAAAAAAAAAGGCAGTGTAGTACTGGCATAAGGATAGGCATTTCATCAATGTAACAGAATTTAGAGTCCAGAAATAAACCCTCACATTTATGGTCAATTAATTTTCGACAACAGTGCCAAGACAATTCAATATAGGAAAGAGAGTCTTTTCAGCAAGTGGTACTGGAACAATTGGATATCCACATATGAAAGAATCAAGTTGGATCTCTTCCTTACACCATAAACAAAAATTAATTTAAAATAGATCACAGGCCTAACTGTAATAGCTGAAACTGTAAAACTCTTAGAAAAAACATAGGAATAAACCTTCTGACCTTAAATTTGGCAATGGTTTCTTAGACACAAAAGCACCAGCAACAAAGATTGGTCCAAAAATTGGACTTCATTAAAATGAAAACCTTTTGTGCTACAAACAGTACCACTGAGAAAGGAAAAAGAAATGCAAATCCAAACCACAATGAGATACCACGTCACAACCATTAGGATGGCTATTATAAAGCAAAACAAAACAAAAAACCATCCGGAAAAATGACAAGTGCTGGTGAGGCTGTGAGAAAACTTTCAACTTGGGTGCACTGTTCCTGGGTATAGGACGGTATAGCCACTGTGGAAAATAGGGTGATGGTGCCTCCAAAGATTAAACATAGACGTGTCATTGGATCCAGCAATTCTACGCCTGGGTATATACCCGAAAGAATTACAGAGACTCAAACACGTACTTGTACACCCATGTCACAGCAGAATTATTCACAACAGCCAGAGAAGGGAAGCAAGCCAAGGGTCCATCAATGGTTGAATGGATTAACAAAACATGGTATTTATTTTCAGCCTTAAAAAATGACATTCTGGGGCGCCTGCGTGGCTCAGTTGGTTAAGCAACTGCCTTCGGCTCAGGTCATGATCCTGGAGTTCAGGGATCGGGTCCCGTATCAGGCTCCCTGCTTAGTGAGGAGGCTGCTTCTCCCTCTAACCCTCCCCCCTCTCATGTACTCTCTCTCTCTCTCTCATTTTTGCTCTCTCAAATAAAT